TTAAAAATTTTTATTATGTTTACAGGAATTATCAAGCTTTCCGCACATTGAAACAAAATCTAATTTTAAACACTGGTCCTAAAACTAATAAACTTCCTATACAATTCTTTTTATTTTATATTTACTTTAATAGCCATGGGCAAATTCACGTGAATCATTGAGCATTGTCCGCAGCATTAACTCTGTGTCTAGTTATTCGTTACACAGATGTTCAAAATCTCTATATATTGGTATTGGATCTGATCAACTATCATTAAAATTACCCGCACTTCCACATTTGCCTAAAGAAAAAAAAAAAACCTCGCAAAAAACATGAATCTTGAATTGCCTGATGCCGAAATGGGCAAAGTTGTGACTCGATTTCCACCAGAGCCTAGTGGATATTTGCATATCGGACACGCCAAGGCCGCAATGCTAAATCAACACTTTGCCCAAGCATATAAAGGAAAGATGATTTTAAGATTTGATGACACAAATCCTTCTAAAGAAAAGGTATACTTATTATTTCAATGTATTAAACTAATTGAATTATGTACCAATTTTTATTAATTAATTTATATATATAAAGGAAGAATTTGAAGAATCCATCAAAGAAGATTTAACATTACTTGGTATTAATGCAGACCAAGTAACCTATACTTCGGACCATTTTGAGAAACTTTACCAATATGCTATCAAGCTTATTGATAAAGGATTAGGTTATGTAGATGATACTGATGTCACTACGGTATTTATAGATTTATCATTGAAATGCAAATGTTTTTTTTATAATTAATTCTTCCCAAAATAAATTAGATGCGTGCAGAGCGTATGGATGGCATTGAATCCAAGAACCGGAATTTATCTGTTGAAGAAAATCTTCGGAGATTTCAAGAAATGTATGAAGGTACCGAATTTGTAAGTAGACAACTTAGTTCATACTCAATTCAATTCAATTCGATTTTCATATTTATTATCATTTTTCTTTAGGGTCTGAGCTGTTGCTTGCGTGCCAAAATTGATATGAAGAATCTCAATAAGGCACTTCGTGATCCTGTTCTATATAGGTGCAATACATTACCTCATCATCGTACTGGGTAAGGTAACTAGCTATTTTATTATTTTTTTAGAATTAATTATGCTTATTAATTACCAAATATTACTTTTATCAGGGATAAATGGAACATGTACCCTACATATGATTTTGCTTGTCCAATTGTTGATTCTATCGAAGGAGTTACACATGCATTAAGAACTAATGAATATCGTGATCGTAACGCCCAGTATGATTGGATAATTAATTCCTTAGAATTGAGGAAAGTGCTTGTTTGGGATTTCAGGTGTGTTATAGTGTATAATGTTATTTGCATTTCAGTTTTTGATTTCAGCTTTTATCTATAATATTGATCTCAATGAATTATTTATTATAGTCGTATGAATTTTGTATATACCTTGTTATCAAAACGTAAACTACAATGGTTTGTAGATCAGGGCTTTGTCAGTGGATGGAACGATCCAAGGTTTCCGACTGTTCGCGGTAAGTTGTTTATTGCGCTAAAGATGTTTATACATCTTTAAACTGAATATTTTTATCTAAATTAGGCATACTCCGCCGCGGAATGACAGTCGAGGCTTTAAAACAATATATTCTTTCTCAAGGTGCTTCAAAAAATACGGTAATGCTGGAGTGGGATAAACTATGGGCTTTAAATAAGGCAGTCATTGATCCAATTTGTCCAAGACATACATCAATTTTAAAACAGAACATGTAAATATAGATCTATATGTGCTATACGTTTAAAGCCATATTTTTTTTTTCAATTTTAACACTAATATCGATTATCTTTATAGTGTCAAGGCTAATATTTCTGGTGGCCCTGAAGTTCCCTATGCAAATGATAATATGCCAAAACACAAGAAAAATCCCGATGTAGGAACAAAGAAAACTTGGTTTGCTTCGATAATTTTTATTGACCAAAATGATGCTAAGACATTTGGAATTGATGAAGAGGTAGTTATAATATTATATCTTAATATTTAAAAATTTTAATGTTAAATTCATTACGATCAATAATAGATAACACTTATGGACTGGGGAAATGCTATAGTTAAATCTATTCATAAATCTGATTCAGACCCTGAGATAGTGATAGGATTAGATTTACAACTTCATTTGGAAGGTGATTTTAAAAAGACCAAGAAGAAGATTACTTGGTTGTCTGATACTGAAGAAGTTTTAGAAATTGTGTTGGCCGACTATGATTATTTGATCAATAAGCGTAAATTGGAAGAAAACGATGAAGTCAAGGATTATGTCACTGAAAAAACCGAATTTTTAACAAATGCTATTGCAGATTTTAATGTAAAACAGCTTAAGAAAGGTAGGTAATTTTCTTTTATGTATTTGATATTTGGGCTGATTATTAAATAAAAGGATCTTTCTTTGCATTTTATAGGAGATATAATTCAGTTTGAAAGAAGAGGATATTATATATTAGATGATGATATCTCTACTGTATCTATTCCACGCTTTAATCATATTCCTGATGGTAAGGCTAGTAGTATGGCTTCTAAAGCTGCGGGTGGAAATTCGGACAAAGCTGCAGGTGGAAATTCTGGCAAGAAAAAGGAAAAGAAAAAAGAAAAAAAATAATGATGTAATTGACAAATATTTGTATACTATTCTCCTTTTAGTTTACCGGATAAATATTTGGATAATTTCCGGATAAAATTAAAAATCGGTTAAACTAACTAATTTAATGTGTATAATTGTCTTTTGCATATCGTAGGAATTTAAGGTTGTCATCTAAAAAAATTGTATTTTAAGAATAAAGTTCAATTTGGACGCCATATTTATTAAACCTGTTGCAACCAGTGTTTAAAATTTGATGTTTTCGGTGTTCTCTAAAAATATAGCGAAAGGGCAAAATCTGTGCTCCAGTTGCCGATCACAGTGTAACAACTGTCTAAGTATTCTAGCCGTGATGAAAATTTTCAAATTTCGAACGAAAATATCTCAATAACTACCTATTTAAAATTGATAGATTTTTATTATTTTAATCCTATGAATCAATAAAATTAAAATAAAAAATTTTCATCGATTTTAGATAAGTGGTTATTGAGTTATCATCGCTCAAAGCTTGGAAAACTTAGCCGCAGTCTGTTTTGATAATTGTCCAAATTTTTTTTTTGAATTTTGAGCGATGATATCCCGATAACTACCTACTTAAAATCAATGTAAATTTTTTATTTTAATTTTATGGATTCATAGAATTAAAATACAAAAAAAATTTATTGGGTTTAGATATGCAACTACCGAGATAACATCGCTCAAAGTTAAAATTTTTGCGATTATCAAAACAAAGCTGCGACTAAATTTTTCCAAACTTTGAGCGATGCTAACTCAAATACCTACTTATCAAAAATCGCCTATTTTTGAGGAACAAAAAGAAATAAAATAAAACGTTATTATGAGGAAGAAAGAAGAATTAAAATTATTTTTAGTTCAAATCGTAAAGAAAGACCCAAGTCCATATACGGGCGGTGGCGGAGTGGTATTAATTACTGCTGACGAAAAAGAAGTTTTTTCAGCGATTGAAAAGGCGATGATTTATTTAATTAAAATAAAAAAATCTGTATCAATTTTAGATAAGTAGTTATTAAGATATTTTCAAACTTTTCATCACGGCTAGACGATGAGCGCGCCTTAATTTCTGGGGTTAACCTGTGTATACCTCTCAGACACGGGGTTAACGGTTCAACTAATAACAGGGAGTCACGTGGGTACGGAGACACTGTGGTATGTTAAGGTTGTAAGTATATTTACTAAAGCGAGAGGGTTTATAGATAGCGATTTTAGCAATACAAAAGAATGCGTATTATGTAGATTAGAATCAAAATAGAGAGTGTTCTTTATTAAAACGTATATGTATTATTAAATGCCTTGGCAAGCATGCCTACAAGTGGAGCAAAACTTGCTTGTTTATATAATTGGTCTGCCCAAGACATTAGTGCTATGCTAAGGGTTTCACACTATCTGCCATACCTACACCCCAACTATGGGGGTTGCCTATTTAAACTATCTGGTTCTAACTACCATCGTCAGCCCTCTAACCCAAAGGGTTTTTTTTACTAAACTAAGTAGATATTGGTATCACCCACTTTGGATTTTGCATTCTACCTTAGGATACTTAACTATCTTTGAGGTAAATCTAACATAGTGGTACATGCCCCATACATGTATTCACATGCTTGTTCTTATAACTTCTTTCTAATAAGTACATATTAATTTGCTATTTCATTTGCATATTTCACGCCACCTTTTGGGGTGCTATCATTCTACAGATGTTTTTCAAGCACTAACCTTCCTAATTAGGTACCCATTATGTACTTCTGCTCTTTATTGGTTTGAGATTATATAAACCTGGGTATTCACATCATGTTTATTTTCCTTGAACTGATTTTTTGATATTCTTAAGCTACTGGGTTGGCCTATTCAGGCTTTAAGTACCTCACAAGCTTCCTTTTCTTAGTACTGCTTCCAGAGCACAAGTTCTTTTCCTCTAGTGCAATTCTGGCAGCCAGGTTGGTAAATCTCCCTATTGTAGAATTTTGATATTTAGTTTTACCAGTTTGTCAGTTCTTAGTCTGGTTTGGTTTTGTGACATCCTTATGATTCTCACTACTTCTAACTCTGGGTCTTGCCAAGCTGGTTTCAAATCTTCAAGTCCTCTCTATCAGTATTTTGTTTTGATTCTGGTTTTTCTATATAACCCATGTTACTTAGATACTTTCAAAATCTTCCAGTACATTGCTAGCACTGGTATAACCAAAGTTACAGGTACTATAACCCAACTTATTAATGAAAATTCATTAGAAGCATGCTATTTATCACATGATTTTTACTATAAATATATAGTCAGAGGTAGTGATTACATCTATATATGATATTAACCAATTAAAATTTGATAAAGTTATCACACCATATATAGATAGGGGTAGCTATTAAGTAAAAAATATCACATGCCCCTAAATAAAAAGAAGTTTATAAAAAAGATATTTAAAAAAATAGAAGACTAAATACAAGATTAGGAGTTGAAACAAGATTCAGAAAATGAACAAGATAGTCATGTTTTAAATTATTTTCTTAATAAGAAAACAAAGTTTATATAAAGATTAGAAAAGTCGAAAATGTTACATTAGATAAAAAGTTTCAGTACGATTAATAGTAATAAAAATATTGCAAATAGTAGTTAAAGTATAGAATTTGTAATTATAAAAAGAGAATTTAAAAGTAAAAACAAAGAGAAGTTGTTTGTTTGTTTTGTTTTTAGAGTGTTAGTTTATGGCGATTCATCGCCATGGCGATCTCATGATCGACCAATTAAAATTATTTACATGAGTCTATATATATATATTTTTTTTAAAACTTTGATCAAAGATATCTTGGCACTCACTTGACCAAATTTGATGAAAAATTTTTTATTCGAATTCTACAGTTCTCTAGAATTCGAATAAAAAATTTTTCATCAAATTTGGTCAAGTGGGTGCCAAGTTATCTTTGACTAAAGTTTTAGAAAATTTTTAAAATGCATATTATATAGAAACTATACCAAAAATTTTAATGCAACTTGGATCAAAGATAACTTGGCACCCACTTGACCAAATTTGATGAAAATTTTTTTATTCAAATTTTACAGTTATGTAGAATTCGAATAAAAAATTTTCATTGAAGTGGGTGCCAAGTTATCTTCGATCAAATTTTAGAGAATTTTTAAAACACCTATTATATATTATAGAAACTGTACCAACTATATTATTGCCCCACTCGTCGATCTTCCGATCGCACCCACTTGACCATTTGATAAAGTATATTCAAATATTCAATGAATATTTGAATATCTGAATATATAATTGTTTTACTGAATAGAATATTCGAATATAAAAATTTTTCACCAAATAATTCATTGAATACTCAATGAATACATACTATCAAATCAACCAATTAAATGCAAGATTGGGTGTAATATATTAAGCTCAATATTATTACT